TTCAGGTGTCTCTCAGGTAGACCCTCCTCCCGTCGCTGAGCCTGTCGAGGTCACAGGTGACTCAGGTGCTGCTGCGGGTGGTGCTGCTGGGAGTGCTGAGCCTAGGGGTGCTGAGCCTGGGGGTGCTGGGCCTGGGGGTGCTGGGGCTGCGGGTGCTGGGACTGAGGGTGCTGGAGCTGAGGGTACGGTGCCTGAGAGTACGGAGCCTGGGGGTGCTGAGCCTGGGGGTGCTGAGCCTGCGGGTGCGGGGCCTGGGAGTGCTGGGACTGCGGGTGCTGGAGCTGAGGGTACTGTGCCTGAGAGTTTGCCGCCTGGGGGTGCTGAGCCTGGGGGTGCTGCGACTGGGGGTGCTGAGCCTGCGGGTACTGAGCCTGCGGGTACTGAGCCTGGGGGTGTTGCTACTGAGCCTACGGAGCCTCGGGTTACTGCGTCTGGGGGTGCTCCGGTTCGGGGTGCTGAGCAGTCTCTCACACCGCAGCAGCTTCGTGACTGGTACGTCCGGCGCTTTCGCCGTCCTAGTGGCTCGGCTGGAGTTGGGGGTGCTGGGGCTGCTCGTCCTGGGGGTGCTCGTACTGGGGGTACTGGAGCTGCCGGGACTGGTTGTTCTGGGAGCACTGCGACTGGAGCTGCTGGAGCTGGGGACTCTGGCGCTGGCGGTGCTAGCGGAGTTGGAGCTGCCGACTCTGGGGGTGGCGCTGCTGCTAGTGCTGCGGACCCGCCTGGTGGAGCTGCTGCTGGAGCTGAGGACCCGAGCGGTGGCGCTGCTGCTGGTACTGGGGACCCGGACGTTGGAGCTCCTGCTGGTCCTGAGGACCCGGCCGCTGGAGTCTCTTCTGCTTCTGGAGACGCTGCGCGGCCGCGACCGTACTTCGTACCGCTCCTTCAGCAGGTTCTTGGGCAGGCTCCTCCTCCTTGTCCTCCTCCCTCCGTAGAGTGTCCTCCGCCTGTCCAGCCGCAGTCACAGTTACCGCCTGCCTCGCCTCTCCCTGCTCCCTCTCCTTACACTGGTCCCACAGGAGGTCTTACAGAGCGTCGTGAGCCTGAGTCTCGTCCTGCGTCGCCTGTTCGTCCTGCTCGCACTGGTAGTCGTGTCCGTCGTGAGCGTCCTCCTCCTGTCCCAGGCACTCACTACATGACTCTGCGTCCCTCTACTGCTCCTCGGCGTGTCCCTCTACCGTCTCCTCCTGAGTCCTCTTTGCCTGCCGTTCCGGACCCTGAGTCTGACCGGTATCGCGCTGAGCACCCTACAGTCACGCGTCTCCTAGCTACTGTTGTCACTGACCCTACCTTTGAGTCCTCGGCTGCGTCTGCTCTGGTCGCTGAGTTGGTTGACTTTGCTGCTGCCTGTCGTCTAGACTACGCTGCTAGCCTTGTTGCTGCGTCTGAGTCTGAGTCTGTTTGTCCTCCGTCCGTCGGGGGTGAGTGTGCTATTGGCACGGACGTCCTTGAGGACAGGCAGGAGGACTTTGACTCTCTTGCGGCTGCTGTACCTCATCTCGTGGCCTGGTTGCTTGCCCCTGAGGGAGACCCGGATGCACTAGACATCCCCACTCCGCGCACTTACGCAGAGGCGATCTCGGGTCCCTACTCCTCTCAGTGGCAGACAGCCATGGACGCAGAGATGGCATCCTGGAAGTCCACAGGCACCTACGTCGACGAGGTTCCCCCTCCTGGGGTGAACATCGTCGATGGCATGTGGATTTTCAGGGTGAAGCGGCCGCCAGGTTCTCCGCCTGTCTTCAAGGCTCGTTACGTTGCTAGAGGCTTCAGTCAGCGTCAGGGGGTCGACTTCTTCCAGACCTTCTCCCCCACCCCGAAGATGACCACTCTTCGGGTTCTGCTGCATGTTGCTGCTCAGCGTGACTACGAGCTTCACTCTCTTGACTTCAGCACAGCGTTCCTGCAGGGCAGCCTGCATGAGGAGATCTGGCTGCGCCGCCCACCTGGCTTTACTGGGTCGTTTCCCCCTGGTACCCAGTGGAGTCTCCGCCGGCCAGTCTACGGTCTCCGCCAGGCGCCACGTGAGTGGCACGACACACTGAGGACTACACTTGCGGCTCTTGGGTTCGCGCCGTCTACTGCTGACCCGTCGCTGTTTCTGCGCACAGACACGTCGCTGCCGCCGTTCTACATTCTCGTGTACGTCGACGACTTGGTCTTTGCTACTGCTGACACTGAGGCACTCGCTCGTGTGAAGTCGGAGCTGCAGAAGAGACACACCTGCACTGACCTGGGTGAACTGCGTAGCTACCTTGGCTTGCAGATCACCCGGGACAGAGCTCGCCGCACCATCACCCTGACTCAGTCACACATGGTGCAGCAGGTCCTTCAGCGCTTCGGCTTCCAGTTCTCCTCACCACAGGCCACACCTCTGGCTACCAGCCACTCGCTCTCAGCTCCACCTTCGGACGAGTCCGTAGAGCCGAGTGGCCCGTACCCAGAGCTTGTAGGCTGCCTCATGTACCTGATGACCTGCACGCGACCTGACCTCGCGTACCCTCTTAGCATCCTTGCTCGTTACGTTGCGCCTGGGAGACACAGGCGAGAGCACTGGGAGGCTGCTAAGAGGGTGCTGCGTTACTTGTGCAGTACATCAGGCATGGGGCTGGTGCTTGGAGGACGCGACAGAGTTGTCCTCACTGGTCACTCGGACGCTTCTTGGGTGGACGACCTGGCTACGCAGCGGTCGTCACAGGGTTACACCTTCAGCCTTGGCTCTGGTTCTGTCTCGTGGCGGTCCACCCGCTCTTCTTCTGTTCTCGGCTCTAGTTGTGAGGCTGAGATCTACGCCACAGCCATGGCTGCACAGGAGTTACGCTGGCTCACCTACCTGCTGACTGACTTGGGAGAGCGGCCTAGTTCTCCTCCAGTTCTGTACGGTGACAACAAGGCGGCTCTTGCCTTGTGTCAGGAGCACAGACTGGAGCACAGGACGAAGCACATTGCTCTTCGCTACTTTCTTGCTCGAGAGCTTCAGCAGCGCGGTCAGCTTCGGCTTGTGTACGTGGACTCGAAGGCCAACACTGCTGATATCTTCACCAAGGCGCTCCCGCCTAGTGATCATCAGCGGCACTGTACTTCTTTAGGCCTTGTGTCCACATTTCCTCACTTGCTCACTGCTTGACATTCTTTGTACTGTACTTTATATATATCTTGTTGCTTGCTTGCTAGGTTTTGATCACTGTGTTGCTTGTCTTGTACTATATCTAGCACTGCATGTGAACTGGCCTTGTGGCCTTTACTTGTGCTCGGAGTGTGGTGACGTTGTGATCCACCCTGGGCTTTGCTTTGCTTTGCTGGACTGGTCTTGTGACCCTTTGTTCTCCCCCACTTTGCCTATGGGGGTGTGTTAAACTGTATTATGCTTGTAGGCTGTAGTGGGGTAGCCAATATGGGGTACAACCCCAACTAGGGTTACATATTTGTACCCAAACTTCTGCTAGTTCATTCATTCTTGCCTAGTTCTTCTGAGACATTGTTGCAAGTCGGAACCTAGGCCGGCAAGGATAAATGTGACGAACATGTCGTAACAAAAGTGTCCTCCATTCTCCTTGAATTGGTGACATATATTCGTGCTGCGATTGATGTATGTTCCTGTTTTTTTCTCCTGGATCCATTCCAACGACATTGAGCTGACTCAAGAGACGTTTCATTGTTACTGGGTCGTTTGCCATGTACATTGTACGCATGTATTCCCAGGATTGCTGCACGGGTGCCCACTGATTCTTTAAGAAGCGTATACCGAGCTTCTTAGCGGGAGAAAGATTGCGGTTCAACACGTTGCAGGCGAGTAGTAACATGTAGTAGTACTGCGCCTTCTCCAAAGGTAGGCCGTCGTTCGAGAAGGGAAATGTGCCGTCGTAGTACATTTAGATTTGCGCGTTCTGCGCAAGGAGCTGAAACCCGAAGCTACATGTGTATAAATAATTTCTTTCAAAGAGAGTGCTTATTTTAAAATTTGGAGTTTTGTCAAAAACTTATTATGAACAGATGCTAACGTCTGGAAATGCGATCGCTGTATTGGTGCAAGAATGTGTCCAGGAGGATCTGAGAGTCTTCTGGCGTAGTTGGAGCCGTCAACTCTCATGGGCCTGATGATGACTTTCCATTGGATTGATGTGAAATATGGAGTCGTAATGTGCGGGACCCTTATCATACTAAAGAAATATTCTTACGCATGGAAGAACCAATGTGTGTAGAATCTCATACTACTCCTACAATAATCATCTATGACTTTTCAACCATACTGGAGTATGGCGTATGGTAGCTAGTAATAGTAAGGTAGCACATTAAACATGCTAGCTATATGGAGTAGCATTTTCACATGGATCTTATCATATGCTACACATGATGCTAAAGTGCTGTGCGCGAATTTGCCTTACCTATTTTTGATCCACTGCACCACGTGTTTTTGGGGTCGGGAAGTTGCACCCAAGTCCCCCGAGCAAGTGGCAGTGAGATTGAACCAATGGTAATGAAGAGACCGAAGTTAAAATCTCAACGCGTCAGTTACAATTTTTTTATAAGCCCTTTTTTGCTAGCTGCGAATTGACAAAACCTTTGCGACACGCTACAATCACTTAAAAGCTCTCTTCACAATGCAAGTATGGCAGACTCAAACGAGCATCAGGTGTATCATGTTTGGAGGCATTCAAATTTACTGCTACCCCTAGCTAGGTGTCTCAACAATTCCTGACCTCGGCTTTCCCGAGTTGCAATCGACATCGTTGTAAGCATCACTCTTTCTTCCAACGTGAGCCATCGATTTCGAAATACTGATTTGGCAAGGACGATTCAGATGGAAGAAGCCACACAACCCTATCATCGAGGTCAACCAGTCACCCTTCAAAACGGTCAACATCGAAGGCAGAACCAGATCAAGTTAGCCTCGACAGTTGGCTCGACAAAGCAGACCACACAGATTGAAGCAGGCCTGGTTCGTGGTGAATGAAGTCGTCAACCTCGGACGAATTCGCCAAAGCTCGGAATCTGGCAAACAGATGGCCAAACTGAGCCAGCGCCCGACCTGTTTCCACGAGCTTAGGACGCGTCTCCTGAAGCGGTTCGGCCGAACCGCACTGATCTTCATTCTGATCCCAGGCTCGGTAGCGATTGGTGCCCAGGACTGCAAAAACAGAAACGCAGCTGGAGAGAATTTCTCTAGAGCCCTGTTTCGTGATTCGGTCTTGCCCGCGTGGCCTCGAATTGCTCGCGTGGCCATCCAATTCAGTGATAATTGATCGAGTGGCCACGCCAGGGGATTCCCGCTGGCTTTTTTTACTCGGTGCATTACCCTACAAGGGTTTGTAGTCCCGAAACTAATGTATTGGTTGCAGCGCGATCTTCAATATCCAAAATTTATGTTCGTAACCATATATGACCGCGCCTGATTGGACGCGCATGGCCAAAAAAAGCACAGCGCATATAAACGGCCAATCATGCGCGGTCATTAAAGGTCCCGCGCATTGACGCCCCAGCATTGCAGTTTATGATCGCGAAAATATATGATTGCGTAAATATATGATCGGGCATTAATATATGATGCGTGACACCATTAATGGCCGCGCATGATTGGTCGATTATATGCGCGTCCAATTAGGCGCGGTCATATAGGGTCACGAACATAAATTTCGGATATAAAAGGTCGCGCAATAACAAAGACAAAATTGTTGAGGATAATTATGCTTGAAGGGTAATGTGCCTTCGATAAAAATGACGTTGAGAATCCCCTGGCGTGGCCACGCGAGCAATTGAAGGCCACGTGAGCAAGAACGAATCACCAAACAAGGTTCTGGAGCATCTCTCTCAACGCAGCTGCCACACCGATATACTGGTGACAGGTTCGGGAGGCAGGATTAGGGTTTGGTACACCCAGCGTGCGACTACGTCTCTGGAGTCGCATACGACCCACGAAAGAGGGTCGCATGTACTTGAAAAATGTAACCCATTGCGTGCGACTTCGTCCAGTGACTATGCGACGAGGATCGACGGCGATCGATCGTGCTCGTCACCCTTGACTCGATGTCTCACCCCGCGCTCTTCAATCTCACGGTCGATACGGGCGCTTCACTATATCGATCGGGGGGAACCCGTAGGTGACAGGTTCGTTGCCACAATTCTACTGTACACTCGCACACATACGCGAACGCTGGTTACCTTGTTGAATACGAAGCTACAGTGCTACACTCAGCGCGGAACACCGATCTTCCAGCCGATCGATCCGCTTCAGGAGACGAGTCCTTACTGCTTCTGACCTTGGAATTACCGTCTTCTGCGAGCGCAATTATGGTCTTCTCAGTTTCTGTGTGGTATCAATTTCCCTTTCAAAGGTCAGGGAACCGACTACACTGACAGGAGTTGCTGAGCGCAAAGCAAGTGGGCTGATCTGTAGTGGAGTAGAGGAGCCATTGTTTCGTTGCTGGCGCTCTTCTTGACGCATTACACTCACGGAACCGCCGTTCAGAATACTTAAACCCAGAGTAACATAGGCGCGTTCCGTGCGTTCCAGTCATGGAAACGTTCAATGTGCGCGTCGGCGGCGGAAGGCCTTCCGTAGATGCTGCGCGCAATTCGCTCATTGTAGGTGGCTGATCGTAGCTGGTTGATTGTAGATGTTTGTCCGCAGGTGGTCAGTTGTTTTGTCAATGGTTGATCGTAGGTGACGCATCCACTTGTAAAATGCGTGGTACGGAGATACAGGCTGTTTACCCTACAAATGCGATAATTACGTAGACGAACTGCACTGAATTGCCCTGAATATCTAGTGTCGACTTGAACGCTGACTTGCCGTTCTTCTGCTGCTGCAGACGTCGCCGTTGCTTCTCGAAGAACCCATCCGACTGGCCTCGATATTGGAACACTCACACTATCATGTAATTCCTCAGCCGTCGCAATCCTAGTTTTAGTAAATTGTATGTGTTGACATTACCATCACATCTTTCTGCATTGTTTTCGCTTGTACCATACACGAGTACCACTTTCTTTTCGATAACGTCATAGATGCCTTCGCTATCTCAATTCTCTAAATTATCGTACATTTTCCTACGGGGTTTTGAGTCGGTCATAAAAGCATCCGAGCAACATGCTCTAATTCCTGATTCCCTTCCCTTTTCGTGAAGCGTCAGACCTTTCTCACCTTCCGTAATTCTCTATATCACGTACGTCGTACGCCAGAGGTCGGTTCCATGCCTGACCAAGATCGTGGGGACGGTAGGCGGTAACTCGAAGACCGTGGAGCAACTCTCGGCTCTTCTCGAAGCTGGCATGACAGGTGCGCGCGCGCGTGCGGGAAAGAGGGGGATGGGACTGTTGCAGAAGGCACCGGGAGAAGAGGAGCTAGAATGGGGGGAACGGTATGCGGCACCTCGAAACCGTGAAGCAACTGTCGGCCTGCTCGAACCGGGCAGGACAGGTACCCGCGTGCATGACAGGGGAAGAAGGGGTTGGGTTTTTGGGAAAGGCGCGGTGAAAGTAGAGAGGTGGGAATGGGAGGAACGGTGGGTGGAAACTTGAAAACCGTGGAGCAAACGTCGGCTCTGCTCAAAAGCGGGCATGACAGGTGCGCGCGTGTGTGCTGGGGTGAGGGGAAGTGAGGAACGGATTTGTTGCGAAAGGCGCAGGGAAAGAAAAGGAGTGGGAGTGCGGGGAACGATAGGCGGAAAACCTGAAGACCGTGGAGCGATGTCGGTTCATGTCGAGGCTGGCATGGCAGCTGCACGCGCGAGTGCTGGATTGAGGGGAGGGAAGAGGAAAGACGGGGTGGGGAGGTGTACTAAGGATGGGTATGACACGTACGCGTTGTTCTCATTGGGATGAGCTGTGGGAAAACCAAACACGGTTGATTGGTGAGGGAGTAAGCTTGGTACGCGTAGGGGATCCAGAATCATCCTCCACTTTTCTGCAGCCTTGTTTGCGTGTTTCCATCTCAATGCATAAACCCCCTCCCCTCCCACCCTTATCCCCTCAAACCCCCCCTCTCGCTCCCGTTCCTTCTACCTCTTCTCTCAACCCAAGCCCTCGTTGCACCCATTCACCTGACCCCAAACGGCTGCACGGTTTGCTTTGTTAGCGAGCGGCGTTTCTGGTGTCACATTAAAGGCTCACTTCCATTCCCCTCCCTTCTCTTCCCTTCGATCTTCCAAAGTTCCGCGGCGCGTCCCTCCCCCATCCCACAACCTCTCCCCACCCCAACCCCCCCTCCCCCCCTTCCTCTTCTGCCTGACCGCTGCACGGTTCGACCTCTCTGTGGACGTTCAGGAGAACCACCAGGAGACGTACGAAAACCTGCGGGCGGCCATGGCGAATCCTCGTCGCCCCCATCCCATCCACCTGACCCCCGACAGCTGCACTGAACGGGTTGCTTTCTCGTGAACGACATCTCTGGAGGCACGTAAAAGGCTTACTTAGTCCCTTTCTGTCCTCTTCTCCCCACGTGCTATGCTGTCTGTCTATTGCCACCGCCCCCAAACCTTATGCAGCTGCACGGTTTGACTTCTCTGTCAACGACCAGGAGAACCACCAGGAGACGTACGAGAACCTGCGGGCTGCCATGAAGAAAACCCACCGCATGTGCGCGGTAAGACGTGTTTAATTGTGATGAACACTGCTTTTGAGTCGACTCATAAGGAGAACCACCGAGACATACGATAACCTGCAGGCTGCCAGCCCGCCTCCTCATGCCCCACCGCACCCCCTATAGACTGTGTATGACACGCACGGACCCGAAATCACCATCTGCAACAGCAGAAATCACTGCCATAAAAATCACGCACAGCCTCACGCACACATGCATTTCCCTTGTTCTCCCACACTCCTTCAGGTTGTGTACGACACGCAAGGGTCTGAAATCACCATCTTCAACAGCAGCAGCGCCGCAGTGACGGCCACTCTAGACGCACATGTTTTCTACAGGCATCCAAGCATTGATCCGTGTGTATCCTATCCCCACCCTCCTTCAGGTTGTGTACGACACGCATGGACCTGAGATCACCATATTCAACAGCAGCAGTGCTACAGTGACGATGACAGCAGGCAGCACGGTGGTGCTCTCGGGGGACAAGGACCAACCTGTCACTGCCCATGCGCTGCCCCTTGCCTGCCCCCAACTCGCCAAGGTGTGTGTGTGTGTGTGTGTGTGTGTGTGTGTGTGCGCGCGCGCGTGCGCTCGTGCATGTGTGTGTTTCTGAGGGAGCGAGCGAGGGAGGAGGGAGGGCGAGAGATCACCATATTCAACAGCAGCAGCGCTACAGTGACGATGACAGCGGGCAGCACGGTGGTGCTCTCGGGGGACAAGGACCAACCCGTCACTGCCCAGGCGCTGCCCCTCGCCTGCCCCCAACTCGCCAAGGTGTGTTTGTGTGTGTGTGTATGTGTGTGTGTGTGTGTGTGTGTGTGTGTGTGAGTGTGTGTGTGTGTGTGTGTGTGTGTGTGTGTGTGCATGCTCACGCCTCTCATTTCCTCACTATCTCTCTGTCCCCTCCGTCTGTCTCCCTCCCTCCCTGCTATCTCCCTGGCCTGACATCTATTACATGCTCTCATCCAGTCACATCAAATCCCACTTCCTTCTCCTCTCCACCTCCGTCCCTCTCCCTCCCACCTAAACCCCAGGCGGTGAAGCCAGGGGACGAGGTGTTTGTGGGGCGCTACCCCTTCACAGGCAGTGAAACCACCACCAACGGCACACATGCTCTCTCTCATTCAATTTAATCACATTATCCCGGACCACCTCATGTCCTCCCCGTCTCTACCCTCACCAGGCAGTGAAGCCAGGGGATGAGGTGTTTGTGGGTCGCTACCTCTTCACTGGTAGCGAGACCACGTCCGTGTGGCTCAAGGTGAGCAGAGTCTTAATATGCATGCATGCAAGGCAGCCTGTATGCTTCGTTTCTGTTCCCACCCACCTTCTCGTTCACTCAACTCCTCTTTTTGCCGCTGGCTTTTTGTTTCTCCAGCTCGTTTCTGCCCTTCGCCACTCATCCACCACACTCTGTCTGTTTCCCCCCTTTTCCCCCCTTCCTCCCCCTTTCTCCTTCGCCTCTCCTCCTTTTCCGGTCTCGCCATATTCTTCGCTTGTCGCCTCGCTTCTCGCTTCCCTTCCCCACTTCCCGCCTCCACCAAACCCCACCAGGTTCCTGGCGGAGGGGGGGAAGGGGGGCAGCATTCTATGCAAGCACTCAAGAGCTCTCCTCATTCTGCTTCCTGCCTTGTCCCTCTTTTTTTTTTTCTTCTTTTCCGCCCGTCCTCTTCTTTTCCCGCTCACTCAACCCCACTCGCCCCCAGGTGGAGGAGGTGAAGGGGGATGACATAGTGTGCACGGTGACCAACACAGCAGAGCTGCAAGGAGACTTCTTCACCGTGCATGCTGCTCAGGTACGAAATCACTGTGAGGAATTCTTAAAAGGAGGAGACTCGGAGTCTCAGAGGTGACTCAAACTGAGGTGAAGGGGGATGACATAGTGTGCACAGTGACCAACACGGCAGAGCTACAAGGAGACTTCTTCACCGTGCATGCTGCTCAGGTACGAAATCACTGTGAGGAATTCTTAAAAGGAGGAGACTCGGAGTCTCAGAGGTGACTCAAACTGAGGTGAAGGGGGATGACATAGTGTGCACAGTGACCAACACGGCAGAGCTACAAGGAGACTTCTTCACCGTGCATGCTGCTCAGGTACGGTACGGCCCACCCGCCCCATGCTCCACCAATCACACTTGCGAATGCTAAACAGAAAGCCTGCAGCAGCAAGACAAAGCAGAGCTGCAAGGGGACTCCTTTACCGTGCATGCCGCTCAGGTACGGTCCATGCTGCTCAGGTACGGCCCATGCTGCTCAGGTACGGCCCATGCTGCTCAGGTACGGCCCATGCTGCTCAGGTACGGCCCATGCTGCTCAGGTACGGCCCATGCTGCTCAGGTACGGCCCATGCTGCTCAGGTACGGCCCATGCTGCTCAGGTACGGCCCATGCTGCTCAGGTACGTGTCCCAGCCATCCCATGCTGGACACACTCACAGTCACACCTTGCACCTGCCTCGGCCCATCACAGGTAGACATGGATGGACATATTTTTTCCCTTGAGTTTGTCCCTTCTCCTCTTCTCGTCCTTAACTCCTTGATCCATCTGCCACAGTTGGTCACGGACATGCCTACCTATCCTTTCCAAGGTGGTTGAGCGCCACCTGTCCCATCTCCTTCCACTCCCCCCCATCTCCTTCCACTCCCTTCCACTCCCTTCCATCTCCTTCCACTCCCTTCCACTCCCTTCCACTCCCTTCCACTCCCTTCCATCTCCTTCCACTCCCTTTCACTCCCTTCCATCTCCTTCCACTCCCTTTCACTCACTTCCATCTCCTTGCGCTCCCTTCCACTCCCTCCCATTTTCTACCATTCCCAATACACACAGGTGGACACGGACATGCCTATTCTCTCCAAGGTGGATGAGCGCCACCTGTCCACGTGGGGAGTGAACTGCTTGCCGCACGTCATCTTCCTCTCTTTCACTCGCAACGCAGAGGACGTCAGATACGTGAGTCGATGAATCTAACTTCACCTTGTGCTTGCTGGCCGCACAACAGAGCTGTCTGGGCCTAGGCAGCGTGTTGCCTGCCGCACAGCATCTTCGTCTCCTTCACTCACAACGCAGAGGACGTCAGATACGTAAGTCACTGATTCTAGATTCTAACACAGTGCACACCTTGTGCTTACCACACAGCACAGAGGCACCTATGCAGGCAGCATGTTGCTTGCCGCACATCATCTTCCTCTCTTTCACTCGCAACGCAGAGGACGTCAGATATGTAAGTCGATGATTATAGTGCACCTTGTGCCTGCCAGACTACACAGAGCCGCCTAGGCCAGGGCCTAGGCAGCGTGTTGCTTGCCGCACATCTTCCTCTCCTTCACTCGCAACGCAGAGGACGTCAGATACGTGAGTTGAAATTTCTAACATGACAAAGCACACTTTCTGCTTGTCACACAACAAGTGAGTGAGAGAGTGGACAAATGCTCCCCATCCCTCTCCATCCCTCCCAATCACTCCCCATCCCTCCCCAACCCTCCCCATCCCTCCCCATCACTCCCCATCACTCCCCATCCCTCTCCATCCCTCCCCAACTCTCCCCATCCCTCCCCATCACTCCCCATCACTCCCCATCCCTCTTCATCCCTCTCCATCCCTCCCCAATCCTCCCCATCCCTCCCCATCACTCCCCATCACTCCCCATCCTTCCCCAACCCTCCCCATCCCTCCCCATCACTCCCCATCACTCCCCATCACTCCCCATCGCTCCCCATCCCTCCCCATCCCTCCCCATCCCTCCCTCTCCCTCACCATCCGGGCCATCCTCCCCAACCCTCATAAGGATCGCACTATGCAAGCTCAGATTCCCTCCCTCCTTACTCCCCTCATCCCATCCCCGTCCGCGCATCCCTCTCCATCCCTCTCCATCCCTCTCCATCCCTCTCCATCCCTCTCCATCCCTCTCCATCCCTCTCCATCCCTCCCCATCCCTCTCCATTCCTCTCCATCCCTCTCCAACCCACCAGGCTCGCAAGTACCTCGCCCAACTGGGCAAGCTCTCGCAGGCCTTCATCTTTGCCAAGATTGAGAGCATTCAGGTAAGCCGACTTTTGTCCTGAGCGGTGACTTTTGAGTCGACTCAAAAGCTCTCGCAGGCCTTCATCTTTGCCAAGATTGAGAGCATTCAGGTAAGCCGACTTTTGTCCTGAACGGTGACTTTTGAGTCGACTCAAAAGCTCTCGCAGGCCTTCATCTTTGCCAAGATTGAGAGCATTCAGGTGGGCACACCTTGCTCCACTGGCTGTTGTGCTTTGTTGCTGTGTTATTCTTTTATTCAGCCATTATTTTTTTCCTAAGTGAGAAAGCCTAGGGTCACACTTTGGTTAAGGTTGCATGCCCTGATTGCGCTGTGGTAGGTAGCTGCCACTTTCATGCATACCCTTGGCCCTGAGACTAGGAGCATTACGAGCATCTATTCAGGAGCACATGCATGCATGCATGTGTGTGTGTGTGTGTGTGTGTGTGTGTGTGTGTGTGTGTGTGTGTGTGTGTGTGTGTGTGCGCGTGTGAGCGTGCGTGTGTGTGTGTTTGTCTTTGCACACGAGTGTGTGGGTGTGTGCACGCGTGCGCGTGTGTGTGTGACTGTGACTGTGTGTGTGGGTTTGTGTGTATGTGGATGCTTGATGCATGTGTGTATGTATGTGTGTGTGTGTGTGTGTGTGTGTGTGTGTGCGTGTGTGTGTGTGTGTGTGTGTGTGTGTGTGTGTGTGCACGCGTGCGTGGTGTGTGTCTATGCACACGCAAGCAGGGGTTGAGGAAGATCGACGAGATTCTGGCAGAGGCTGACGGGCTGGTGCTGGGCCGAGGCGACCTTGGAATCGACCTGCCTGCAGAAAAGGTACCACCTTTACTAATGCTTGCTATTTAAGTGCCTGCCCTTCCACTTCGGACTGCTGGTTTAATTCGAAAAGAGTCTCCCCGTGACTTCTGATTGAAGAAGTGTTTTGAGACGTCTCAAAACACTTCTTCAATCACGTCTCCCCGTGACTTCTCAGGGCTATTGTGCATGGTTTCGGGCTTAGCACTACCACTGACCTAAACCAACAGCAACGAATGAACATGAGACGCACATTCACATTCACATTCAAACTCACATTCACTTTCACATTCACACCATCATATCTTCTGATGGAGTTTCTGAAGCAGTGAACGACTATATCGAAAGCCTACAGTGCCGGGAGTCATCTTGAGCGTTCTTGACTCATCCATCTCCGTCACAGCCATTTTACCCTTTCAACTGCTCACCGTTCCTTTCTCCCTTCATCCCACCAACAGGTGTTTCTGATGCAGAAGGTGGCGATCTACAAGGCCAACATGGCGGGCAAGCCATGTGTCATCTCACGAGTGGTCGACACGATGACAGACACGCCCCGCCCCACTCGTGCCGAAGCCACCGACGTCGCCAATGCTGTGCTGGACGGTGCGTGGGTGGGGGATTTGGGTTGGTTGGGTGGGTGGGTGGTTGGGATGAATGGTAGGTGGTTGGGTTGGGATTGATGGTGTGTGGGTGAGATTGATGGGCAGTTTGTGCAATGGGTTGTCAGAATACTGCTGGTGGGTTTTTGGTGAGTTTCTGGTGGGTTTTTTGTGGAATTATGGTGGGATTATGGTGTGTGATGAAGGGAGCTGCCTGTGTCCTCATGCATGCTGGGAGCTGAGACACTTAGTGGCCGTTCTCTCTCTTCATGCCGTCCTTCTGGTTTTCGTCCTCGCTCCTCCCCCCTCCCCTTTTGCCCACTCCACCTTTCCTTCCCTATCACCTTCCTCCCCACTTTTTTTTTTTTTCAATTATTATTATTTATTTATTTCATTGGTTTGTTAGTTATTGATTTATGTATACATCATCCGGGAGTTGACGCCATTATGCTGGGAGCTGAGATGCTGAGGGCAGATTTTTTAGTATACTGGTTTTTCTCTTCCTTGCATTCTTGAGTTGACTAAAACATCGTCTCATCACACGCGGATTTTTTTGTATACTGGTCTTTCTCTTCCTTCCTTGCATTCTTCTGTCCAGGTGTGGACGCCATTATGCTGGGAGCTGAGACGCTCAGAGGGCTGTATCCTACTGAGACAGTGTCAACCGTGCGCCTCATCTGTGCCGAGGTGCGTTTCATCTGTGCCGAGGTGCGTTTCATCTGTGCCGAGGTGCGGTTCATCTGTGCCGATGTGAGTTTCATCTGTGTCAAGGCAGGCGTGTATTGTCCATCCATCCCCAGGAAGTTTCCATGTGCTGCGGCTCCAGCGAGTTTTCTCATATGCTCTGCATCATGTGTTGAGAATCGTGTGCATCATGTGTTGAGAATCGTGTGCATCATGTGTTGAGAATCATGTGCATCCCTCTCTAACTATTCCCTCACTCATCTTCATCCTCTTCCCAGGCGGAGAAGGCATACAACCAGGAGCTCTACCTTAGGAAGGCGGTGAAGGAAGCCAAATAGCTGGTGGTACTGCTTTCCCACCCATGATGCCTTCCGACTCTCTTGCATCTCTGTATTCCCTCCTGCATCTCCCCTCCCCTGCCAGGCGGAGAAGGCATACAGCCAGGAGCTCTATTTCAAGAAGGCGGTGAAGGAAGCTGGTTGAGAGATTCACATGCATTTGTTCCCTCTGCCTTCTCGCTCACAAATCCAATCCCTCTGCTTGCTCTCGTTCACCTCTCCCTGCCCCTGCCAGGCGGAGAAGGCATACAACCAGGAGCTCTATTTCAAGAAGGCCGTCAAGGAAGCCACTGACACCATGAGGTCTATTCCCTTGTGCATCTTTCTTCCCCTCAGGCGGAGAAGGCATACAACCAGGAGCTCTACTTCAAGAAGGCCGTCAAGGAAGCCACTGACACCATGAGGTCTATTCCCTTGTGCATCTTTCTTCCCCTCAGGCGGAGAAGGCATACAACCAGGAGCTCTACTTCAAGAAGGCCGTCAAGGAAGCCACTGACACCATGAGGTCTATTCCCTTGTGCATCTTTCTTCCCCTCAGGCGGAGAAGGCATACAACCAGGAGCTCTACTTCAAGAAGGCCGTCAAGGAAGCCACTGACACCAGGTCTATTCCCTTGTGCTTCTTTCTTCCCCTCAGGCGGAGAAGGCGTACAACCAGGAGCTCTACTTCAAGAAGGCCGTCAAGGAAGCTACTGACACCATGAGCGAGCTCGAAGCCATGGCCTCATCCGCGGTGCGTCTCTTATCGAATCAGCGTGTATTGCGTACGTGAATCACGTAAGTCATGGTTGTACTGTGTGTGGTATTTGCTACTTAGGCTCAGCACACTTGCCCTTCAGGCGCGGAGAGGTCTCTCTCTGTGGGAATGCATTCTCATGAAGTGATTTGTTATCTTAACGATTTACCTTTGAATTCACCTGGCAGGTGAAAACAGCAGAGAAGGTGCATGCAGCAGCGATTGTGGTGTTCACCTCCTCTGGAAGAATGGCCAGGTGAGTTGCCTGTAGACCTTAGACCCTTCCAGGTGAAGTTAACTGTGAAGTCTTTCAGGTATGTCACCGTCACCTGCTGTTCGCTTTTGAAAAGTCTCAAAAGTCAACAGTGAAAATTTTCAGATATTTCACCTGCTGGTCTACTCCTGACGCTCCTGCCAGCTGGCAGCTCGCTTCGCTTCCTTCCCCTCACATGCATCCTCTCTTTTCTATGCGGACCCTTTTGAAATACGAGCCGTCCACACCTGTATGTAGTAACCCTTTCCTGACTAACCGCTTCCTTCCAACCCACGCTCGTAACCAAGGACAATGCTGTCCATGCCTGTGTTCACTCTGGCCCCTCCATACCTCTCCCCTCCCCCTTTCCCCCTCTCTCCTTTCCCACACACCCCAACCCAATGTACTCTCCTCAAGCTCTCCCCTCCCAGGCTCGTGGCCAAGTACAAGCCAACCATGCCCGTACTTACGCTCGTCATTCTGCCAACCCACACCTCTCCCTATCTCCCCTACCTACCTCCCACTCCTTCAATCCCCCTCCCCTTCCCACCTCGTGTCAGGCTCGTGGCCAAGTACAAGCCAACCATGCCCGTGCTCACGCTCGTCATTCCACGCCTCTACGTTGATAAGCTCAGATGGACGGTGCAGGGTGAATTCCCGGTGAGTTGATAAGCTCAGATGGACGGTGCAGGGTGAATTCCCGGTGAGTTGATAAGCTCAGATGGACGGTGCAGGGTGAATTCCCGGTGAGTTGATAAGCTCAGATGGACGGTGCAGGGTGAATTCCCGGTGAGTTGATAAGCTCAGATGGACGGTTCAGGGTGAATTCCCGGTGAGTTGATAAGCTCAGATGGACGGTGCAGGGTGAATTCCCGGTGAGTTGATAAGCTCAGATGGACGGTGCAGGGTGAATTCCCGGTGAGTTGATAAGCTCAGATGGACGGTTCAGGGTGAATTCCCGGTGAGTTGATAAGCTCAGATGGACGGTGCAGGGTGAATTCCCGGTGAGTTGATAAGCTCAGATGGACGGTGCAGGGTGAATTCCCGGTGAGTTGATAAGCTCAGATGGACGGTGCAGGGTGAATTCCCGGTGAGTTGATAAGCTCAGATGGACGGTGCAGGGTGAATTCCCGGTGAGTTGATAAGCTCAGATGGACGGTTCAGGGTGAATTCCCGGTGAGTTGATAAGCTCAGATGGACGGTGCAGGGTGAATTCCCGGTGAGTTGATAAGCTCAGATGGACGGTGCAGGGTGAATTCCCGGTGAGTTGATAAGCTCAGATGGACGGTGCAGGGTGAATTCCCGGTGAGTTGATAAGCTCAGATGGACGGTGCAGGGTGAATTCCCGGTGAGTTGATAAGCTCAGATGGACGGTTCAGGGTGAATTCCCGGTGAGTTGATAAGCTCAGATGGACGGTGCAGGGTGAATTCCCGGTGAGTTGATAAGCTCAGATGGACGGTGCAGGGTGAATTCCCGGTGAGTTGATAAGCTCAGATGGACGGTGCAGGGTGAATTCCCGGTGAGTTGATAAGCTCAGATGGACGGTGCAGGGTGAATTCCCGGTGAGTTGATAAGCTCAGATGGACGGTTCAGGGTGAATTCCCGGTGAGTTGATAAGCTCAGATGGACGGTGCAGGGTGAATTCCCGGTGAGTTGATAAGCTCAGATGGACGGTGCAGGGTGAATTCCCGGTGAGTTGATAAGCTCAGATGGACGGTGCAGGGTGAATTCCCGGTGAGTTGATAAGCTCAGATGGACGGTGCAGGGTGAATTCCCGGTGAGATATCTCTCCTGTTCTGTGCATGATATAGGCTGCAAGCAGAATGGTGCAGTGCAGAGCGTGTTCGTGTGCTTTCTGACTTCTTGTATGCCCATGGTACTGCCATGTCACATCACGTACTCTTACTGCCTTTGACTTTACAACCCTCCACTCTCCAGCCCTCAGAGTCCCTCCAGTTTCTGTTTTCAGTCTTCATATTTAATTCCTCCACTCTAATGTCCTAGCCACTGCACCTTGTGTCTATGCAGTTTTGTTCCTCAACCCCATAGTGTTCTTAATACCTCTGAGTTTGAGTCTCTCCATCCTTTTGCCTTTCCTCTTAAACCCTCAACCTCCCCTTTCCACGGCACCAGGCTCACATGTGTTGTCTTATGCGGGGTCTCATCCCCATGATGGCTACACCCAAAACCCTGGTATGTCTGCACAGAAATGTTTTCACATCAGAAGCTCAGTAAGGCAAAGTACGCACTTACTGCTTTAAAAACCTCGTTACAACATGAAATAGCTCAGATAATATCAGCCTCGTGAATGACCAAATCGAATTTGGGATGAGGCTGCAACTTGGGTTATGTTATGTGTCTGAGCACCTACTTCCTCTCCTCACAGAGTTGTACATTGCGATATTCTTCATGTCTCCATCGTCTTATGTCGCCATCGTCGTATATCTCCATCGTTCTTGTTGGTTCCCTATCTGCCGAACTCGTTTTGTGTCACTCTTTGTGCCCATCTCAGTCCTCGTGTGTGAGATCTCCCATGTGCTCATCTAATGGATACCAATTCCTGTGCTCTTTCTTTCCCCATAGGAGCAAAGCGATGTGTCCACAAACGAGACAGTTCTGAAGGAGGCCATTCTTCAGGGCCAGCGCATCGGAGTGCTGCGGAAGCATGACAGGGTGGTGGTGGTGCAGAAACTGGGCGACTCCGTTGTGGTTCGAGTCGAAGAGGCGCTTCCTTACTCGAAATAAAGAAACTCGTCCTATGAAGCACTGCACTGCCCTCTAAATATTATTGAGCCATGAATGTGTCAAACCTGACATTTGCTCGCAAAAAAACAGCTACAACGCTATTATCATTAACTGATTGAGTGGTGGACCTGAGCACTTCAAAAGTGGAGCTTAGATGGTCAGAGCCAGATCTGTTTGTATCATGGATGGCAGCTCAGAACACTAGTTATTAGTTGAAGATAATCAGTAGCGTTTATCGAATGACCGCTTGAATAAGCGTGATACGGCCGCAACACTTGTCAGTCAGCGAGTTTCGCTGATTGGTCGGTTGGTTGGTTTTACCGTTTCTCGCTTGAGGCTCCAGCTCATCGAAAAAACTTCGAGAAATGTCGGTAAATATGAACCCTCGGATTGAAGTTCCGACCGTCAAAATTTACCGACATCCCTTCACCTCAGATCCGGTTCTGAAGTCTGGACAGGGTTGAGGCTCCCGAATGGCATGCCGGTCGCGATGGGATTTAGTTTTTTTCCTGCCCGCGGGCAGACCGCTTCCGCGAGCACGCGGAAGCGATCCCGCCTTCGCCCGCGTTTTACTGTTCACGCCCGTATGAACCTCTGACACTTTTGGTAGCAATGAACACGTCTGATTGGCTGCCATGCTCCAAGATTTCTCGCAACTTGTGTAATGAACAATGATCGGGTGTGTTTACACGTCACTGAGGGAAAATTTTGGTTGATGGTGTCCAAGCTTCGCCCAGAACCGTGACCTCAGATACGCACGCACCCTTACCGTCTATGGTAGGACATGGTCTGCTCCACCCTGAATGTCTCCTAATATTTTCTGATCACCACCAGCCTGCCCAATTGAATCTCACTGAACCGCTAGGTTGCCCCATTGAATCTCACTGATCAGATGTCGACATCTGATCACCACCAACTTGCCCCATTGAATCTCACGAAACCGCTAAGAAGCGCAATATCCTATCAGGAAACTGCTCTTCACCGTGCAAAGCTTTGAAAGGCGCCGAACTTCAATTCGCAGTGAACTAAAATGACCTGCTATTGCTAGAGTTGTTTGGAACAATAACGAGTGAACAATTCAGCTAATCCCACTAATTGCTGAAACCGTAGTTTCGGCAATCATATCACTCACTCTCGTTCGGCTTTCCGAAACGAGTCACTCATTGCCTGGGTTCAGATCGGGTGTGTGAGGTGTCCGATTCACCTCCGCTCGGCGCGCAGAGCTCTTTCGCGCGTGTTTCCCGGGCACGATTTGGACCCGTGCAGAATGCTCCGGGAATTACTAGACCGTGGGTTCTTCGCAATTTCGAAAAGAATTAGTTATTAGGTTCAGTATTGTATAAGCAGGACGTATGCTCGTAGTAGCTTGACATCAGCGCGTACAAGCACACAACTTTGGTCCCACAGCCACGAGACGCATACAGTGCGACGCGTACAAGCGACGCACGGCCGGTGATGCAAGCGGCGCACGGCCGGTGATGCCAATCAGACCAGCCCTTTTTCTCTCGACTGCAAAGCACTTGATCTACTTGAGACCCTGGCTTTAACACGGGCTAGCATATGGATTTGGACGGCACTGTATTCTAGTTTTGAGGCGCCTCAAAACATGCGTAGATTGTAGAAAGGGGGAAAGTACGCATGGCCGGTAATGCATAGAATCGGCGTTAACACGGAACAGCCCATGAATTCGCTCTGCCATGATACCGTCCTGCGTGAAAGGCGCGGGGGAACGAGGTGGCGCGCAGCGCCCGGGTGGCGCGCGGGATTTAAGTGGCGCGCAAAAACCGATTGGCGCGCAGCACGCATTCTGAGCTGCCTTCTGCTGGCTGCTTGCCACGTGGCGACCCTCGTTACTGTCACTCTAGCAGGTAAGCACATCGCACTCTTGCCCTTTGGCGCGTCTCAGTCAATGTGGCTTTTCCCCTTGTTCTGTGATCTCCTCTGTTGAACTGTGAAACAGGGCTACGGCGCGCTGCCGCGTTAGGCGAGGTTAGCCGAGCCTGCCAAGGCGAAGGTGGCGCCGTAGCTAGAAGAAAGAAGAGAACGTTGGTAGCGGAAGGGAGCTAAGCTAGAGAGAGACGCTTAGCTCCAAGAGACGAGAGAGTATTGAAGAAGCGAGATTCCAAGATTCCTATAATTGAAAGATGGGATGAAACAACAAGAATCAGAGAAGCTACTTTATGCTAGGAAGGAGGAAGCACGGCTTGGAAGGAAAACCGCTTCGCCACGATTTTCGCATGGCATCTTGGCATGGCGCCTCCATGCCATGCTCTGCTGGATTCTAGTAGCTTCTAATAGCTGATGAGGATAAGAGAGTATGCTCCGAGGCTAACACCTATCTCTATTCGGAGCTATCTAGGTAAGGGGAGTTCCAACTGTTTGGGTATTCCCATGCGTGCTGGCATCGGGAATCCCAACTGTCTCGCAGGGTTCCAACTTGTAACAAACTGTCTCATTACTGTAACCAAAGACAAAAAAAAAGCAGAAGATGCAAATTAGACAAACAATAGAATGTGATGATTCTGCTGTTGAGTCAACAGAAATAAACCGACCCACCCCCTCGTTTCACCTCCATACACCCGCAGCAGGTTTAGACGTAGGGCGGGTCACATGCCCACTGTAGGGCCGAATGGGACAGCTGCTGCTGAGTCAATTCACAAAAGTAAACCCAGCCTGTCTTCCCCTCCCCACCTCCTGTCTTTCCTTCCCCACAACCTCTCTTCCCCTGCACACCCCCATACCCGCAGCAGAATCAGGTCTTGTGGAGAACACAGGGCCGCTGCTGGGCCGAGTGAGTCAGCTGCTGTTGAGTCGACAGAAGTAAACCCACATAACCCACCTCTCTTCCCCTCCCCACCCCCTCTTTTGCCCTCCCCACCCCCTCTTTTCCCCTCCCCACCCCCACTTTTCCCCTTCCCAACCCCTCTTTTCCCTTCCCACCCCCTCTTTTCCCCTCTCCACTGCCTCTTTTCCCCTACAAACCCGCAGCAGGATCAGATATAGTGGACAACACAGGGCCGCTGCTGGGCCGAGTGGGTCAGCTGCAGCAGCTGCTGCACCACCAGCTGCTTCCCTCCGCCTCCCATGCCTCCACCCACCCACTACCCTCCAACCCACACGGCCGAAACTACGTCCTCCTCCCTGAGGGTTTGGATCAGCTGGTTCTCTCTGAGGGTTCGAATCAGCTAGGGCGTTTGGCGGCAGGCGGATTGGGGGGGGCTGGTGGTGGGGGGGAGAGGGGGAGAGAAGAGGAGCGGAGTGCGGGGATGGTGGACCATGGGGGCATTGTGCCGGAAGGGGTTGTGCCTGATGCGCTAGATAAGCACATTCCCATGTCTATTCGGTGAGTGTGCCTCTTAGAGCCAACTCAAAACATATTTCCCACTTCCTGGATAGCTGCGTTTCCATGTCTATCTGTTGAGTGTGCTTTTTACTTCTTCCTTGGTGCGTTTGAGCGTGAGTGAGGATTTGTGGTCCTGCTGAAGCCATAGACACGTCCCAGCCTTCGGTGAGTGTGAAGTCTCTCACTCTCCTGGCTTTCAACTGGTGCGTTTGAGATCACGAGAGACTTTGTGGTGTTGGTATGTGTCTCCGAATCGATTCAGAGAGTGGGTGCCTCTGACTTTTGAGACGTCTCAAAAGTCGAATCTATTCAGAGAGTGGGTGCCTCTGACGCCGTAGAGATGCGGCAGCAAATCGGTGAGTGTGTTTTCTCACTCTTCTGGCCTTCAATTGGTGCGTTTGGTTTCAGAGTGAGGCTGTTGTGGTCTTGAGTCGTGATGCTCTGGCTGGCTGAATAGGTCCCAATGTTCGGTCAGTCGATCTGTAAATCTGTGTTCCTCCACGTGCCCTCCTGCTCCTGCATACACACCTCTGTGACACACAGACGCAGACACTTCGTGGCTTATGTGTGAACGTGTCTCTGAACCATCCCTGCTGCCTGTGCAATGCTTTGCCCTCTCCCCATGTCCCTCCACCACTTCACCCTCCCCTTCTCTCCCCCCCTCCTCCCTCCGCTGCCTGCGCCCCCCTTCCCCCTCTCTACTGCCTATGAATCTTCCTCCACTTCTCATGCCATGTGATTCACGTTGCCCGCCGCTCATACAACCCTCCTCCCTCGCCATGACGGGACTCGTTCCCGTATGCAGAGTCCAGAGCGCCTGCAGCTGCCCCTGGATTTGCTGCCATGCCACATGCCATGCGACTCATTCACCCCTCCCATTCCTCCCCACCCCACCTACACTCCATCCCCCCAACCCCACCACCATCACCAGAATGAATGAGTCCTGAGCGCCTGCAGCTGCCTATGGAGGTGCTTGCAAGTGTCATACGACTAATTCGCTCTCTTCCCCATCCCACTTTTCCCCATCCCACTTATCCTCATCCCGTCCCCACCCACCCACACCCACCCACGTTCCCCCACCCACTCACACACCCTCCCTCATTATGACATCAGAATGAGTCCTGAGCGCCTACAGTTGCCGCTGGAGGCGCCTCCACATGCCATGCGACTCACTCACTCCCTCCCTTCCTCCTCGCTCTCCTCCCTACCCACACACCCCCTCCCTTCCTCCCCCACCACCATCACCAGAATGAGTCCTGAGCGCCTGCAGCTGCCGCTGGAGGCACTCCCACGTGCCATCGACACCAGCGAGCAGAAGAACGTCATGCTGGCGTTTCGCGAGCGGTTCGACAAGTGAGTGAGCGTCAGGGGTTCAAAGGGGTGAGGCAAGAGGGGAAAGTGGATATGGGGGGTGCTTGCTCATTCCAACTTGCCCTCATCGACAGCAGCGAGCAGAAGAACGTCATGCTGGCGTTTCGAGAGCGGTTTGACAAGTAAGAGAGCGGTTTGACAAGTAAGAGAGCGGTTTGGGTGGGTTGTGGAGGAAGAGAAAGGGAGGGGAGGGGCGCGAGTGGGGGGAGGAGAAGTCGCGCTGACGGTGTGTGCTCATTGCAGTGCAGCTACGTGTAAAAAGTGAAATTTTGGGACGTCTCAAAAATTCACTTTTTACACGTCACGCTGACGGTGTGTGCTCATTGCAGCTTGTCTTCATCGACAGCAGCGAGCAGAAAACATTATGCTGGCCTTTTGCGAGCGGTTTGACAAGTGAGAGGGTGTAGGAAAAAGGGGGAGCGGAGGGGCTTACTCATTCCAACTTGTCATCGTCAGCGGCAGTGAGCTGAGCAGGCACGTGAGGGGAAGGGGTTGTGCAATCAAGTCATGCCGGTGTTTTGAGGGCGTTTTGACGAGTAAGAGGGCATGTGAGGGGAAGGGGGTGCATGCTTCTGCCAACTTGCCATCGCTGACAGACAGCAGCGAGCAGAGGAAGGCCTTGCTGGCATATTGAGAATCCACGTGAAAAAGGTGAGGTTTTGAGACGTCCCAAAACCAAAACCTCACTTTATACAAGCAGCAAGCAGAGGAAGGCCTCGCTGGCATGTTGAGAACAGTTTGGCAAGTGAGAGGGCGTGTGAGGGGGGGAAATGGGGAGAGGGGAGGGGAAGTGACTCTGGGGATGCTTGCTCGTTTCTCTCGTTTGCGAAAACGTGTTACACAATGAAAATTCTCCTCCGTCTTAATCTCACCGTTTGTCCTCCTCAGGTTTGGCGATCTGATTCCCTGCCACGGCCCTCCCTTCCCGCCTTTACCCCCTCCCCTGCGGTCCCGCCTACCCCAACGTGCACGCATGCTGGAACCGCCACTTCGACACGCCTCTGCTGTTGCCCGCCCACGTGCTCAGCCCCATTCCCCGAAAAAAAACTCATCTCTCTCTTCTTCCCCTCTGCTTCCCCCCTCGTCTTCTCCTCCCCTTCTCCCCTCCTTTCCCCCACCTCCGTTCCTCGGGTTCGGCGACTTGATTCGCTGCCACAGGCCTCCCTGTCCCGCCTTCACCCCTTATGGCTCTGCCTCTGCCTACCCCAACGTGCATGCCTGCTGGACTGGAACCCCCTTCTCATCACTTGTTTTTTGAGAATTCTCAAAAAACATAACCCAACGTGCACGCCTGCTGAACCCCCTCCTCATCACTTGTGTGTCAAATCCTTCTTTCCTCAGGTTCGGCGACTTGATTCGCTGCCAGCCACGGCCCTGCCTGCCTGTCCTCCTGACTTCTCCCTTATGGCTCCGCCTACCTTAACGTGCCTCACGGGTGTTGAGTTGGAATTCCCTCCTCAACACGCGTGTCGTGTGTCGAATCCTTCTTTCCCCTCCTTCCCACCTCAGGTTCGGCGATCTGATTCGTTGCCACGGCCCTGCCTGTCCTGACTTCGCCCCCTGCGGCTCTGCCTACCCCAACGTGCATGCATGCTGGAACCCCCTCCTTGACGCACCTGTGCTTGTGCCTGCGCGCGCGCCCCTCAACTGCCCAAAGAAGTTCCCTCTCAAGAAGCCGCGGTTTGCGTGGCAGAACCACGACAAGACGTGCTCGCATCCGAGGGACTTCAACCCCCGAGAGCCTTCTGCTATGCAGGTGGGTGTGTTGGTGCAGGTGGGTGTGTTGGTGCAGGTGGGTGTGTTGGTGCAGGTGGGTGTGTTGGTGCAGGTGGGTGTGTTGGTGCAGGTGGGTGTGTTGGTGCAGGTGGGTGTGTTGGTGCAGGTGGGTGTGTTGGTGCAGGTGGGTGTGTTGGTGCAGGTGGGTGTGTTGGTGCAGGTGGGTGTGTTGGTGCAGGTGGGTGTGTTGGTGCAGGTGGGTGTGTTGGTGCAGGTGTGTACTGCGTGGAAAGGAGTGAGTGTGTGCAGGGGGAAACAGACAAAACCATGACAGCACGTCAGGGCGCCCCTCTCAACTGCCCAAAGAAGTTCCCTCTCAAGAAGCCGCGGGTTCCGTTGCAGAACCACAACAAGACAAGCTCTCTACCCCCGGGCTTCAGCCCCAAGGAGCCTTCCGCCATGCAGGTGCGTGTCTGCCATGCAGGTGCGTGTCTGCCATGCAGGTGCGTGTCTGCCATGCAGGTGCGTGTCTGCCATGCAGGTGCGTGTCTGCCATGCAGGTGCGTGTCTATAGGAGAGAACAATGGCAGACAGGCACATGCATGGTGGACGAAGTACCTGGCAGGCTGGCTGGCTGGCTGGCTGGCTGGCTGGCTGGCTGGCTGGCTGGCTGGCTGGCTGGCTGGCTGGCTGGCTGGCTGGCTGGCTGGCTGGCTGGCTGGCTGGCTGGCTGGCTGGCTGGCTGGCTGGCTGGCTGGCTGGCTGGCTGGCTGGCTGGCTGGCTGGCTGGCTGGCTGGCTGGCTGGCTGGCTGGCTGGCTGGCTGGCTGGCTGGCTGGCTGGCTGGCTGGCTGGCTGGCTGGCTGGCTGGCTGGCTGGCTGGCTGGCTGGCTGGCTGGCTGGCTGGCTGGCTGGCTGGCTGGCTGGCTGGCTGGCTGGCTGGCTGGCTGGCTGGCTGGCTGGCTGGCTGGCTGGCTGGCTGGCTGGCTGGCTGGCTGGCTGGCTGGCTGGCTGGCTGGCTGGCTGGCGCCCGCACGCACTTCATCTCCTCCTGGTCATGGTGTTCGTAAGAGCTTTGTCGCGTCATCATGGGCTCATCCCCATGCCTCATGCCTCATGCCCCATGCCCCATGCCTCATGCCCATGCCCCATGCCTCATGCCCCATGCCTCGTGCCCATGCCCCATGCCTCATGCCCCATGCCTCATGCCCCATGCCTCATGCCCATGCCCCATGCCTCATGCCCCATGCCTCATGCCCCATGCCTCATGCCCATGCCCCATGCCCCATGCCTCATGCCCCATGCCTCATGCCCCATGCCCCGTGCCTCATGCCCCATGCCTCATGCCCATGCCCCATGCCTCATACCCCATGCCTCATGCCCATGCCCCATGCCTCATGCCCCATGCCTCATGCCCATGCCCCATGCCTCATGCCCCATGCCTCATGCCCATGCCCCATGCCTCATGCCCCATGCCTCATGCCCATGCCGCTACTCCATGCATGCATGCATGCCGCATACCCGTAACCCATACCATGCCCCGTGCCATGCCATGCCATACCATACCATGCCATGCCATGCCATGCCATGCAATGCCATGCCATGCCCCATGCAGGTGTTTCGCCTGCATGGCGTCATGGTGACCCACAAGGGCTTTGCGTTCAACGCCACCCACCGCTTCGTGCACCAGGGCTGCAAGCGATTCAACCCGGTGAGTGTGGATTGCTGTGACTCAGGTGAGTCGCTTGACATGAGTCAACACGAGTCAACATGAGGCAACATCTTAACTAGAGAGACCCCCACAAGGGCTTTGTCTTGAATCCCACCCACCGCTACGTGCATCAGGGCTGCAAGCGATTCAACCCAGTGACTGAGAGTTGTTCTGGTTGAAGAGTCACCATGAGTCCCCATGAGTCCCCATGAGTCACCATGAGTCACCATGAGTCACCATGAGTCACCATGAGTCACCATGAGTCCCCATGAGTCCCCATGAGTCACCATGAGTCACCATGAGTCACCATGAGTCACCATGAGTCCCCATGAGTCCCTATGAGTCCCCATGAGTCACCATGAGTCACCATGAGTCACCATGAGTCACCATGAGTCACCATGAGTCACCATGAGTCACCATGAGTCACCATGAGTCACCATGAGTCACCATGAGTCACCATGAGTCACCATGAGTCCCCATGAGTCCCCATGAGTCCCCATGAGTCAACGCGTTAGCACTTTCTGAGACCCCTTCACCCTTCTCCACCTCTCTCCACTCCTCTCCCTCTCTCATCTCCCTCTCCTCTCTCTCCTCCAGTTCTCATACCCTCCGGGCCAGAAGGTGCATCGGATAAAGCTGGCCTTCGACTGGGGCTACACGCAGGGCAACAACTTCTACCACTTCCTAGTCGAGGCCATCCCCTCCTTCTTTGTCGCTGCTGCGGCGCTGCCCAACCTCAGAGACGTCCCCATTATCGCTGAACGCTTTCAGGTGGTGCATGTCTGGGCGGGTGGGTGGCTGGGTGGGAGGGCTTCCAAGTGCGTGAGAGGGTGGGTGGGACCATGAGTTGAGTTGCCTTGGAACCTCCTCAGCACCCACCTTGCTGCCAAACACAAACTTCAGTGACATTCCCATTGTTGCCGAGCGCTTCCAGGTGCGAGCATGTGTGCTGGGAATGTTTTTGAGAATTCTCAAAGAACATTTTTTGAGAATTCTAAAAAAACATTTGCTGCCACACTTCAGTGACATTCCCATTGTTGCCGAGCGCTTCCAGGTGCGAGCGTGTGTGCTGGGTGGATGTGGGTCTGTGGGTGTGCTGAGGCCATCCCCTCTTTTTCTAGTCGACTCAGAAAGTGGGTGGATCTGCTTTTGAGTCGACTTCAAAGGTGGGTGGATGTGCGGGTCTGTGGGTCTGTGGGTGTGCTGAGGCCATTCCCTCGTTCTTTGTTGCTGCTGCAGCACTGCCCAACCTCACAGACATGTCTATCATTGCTCAGCGCTTCCTTCCAGGTGGGGTGGGTCAGTCGGTGGGTGTCTTTTGAGTCGACTCAAAACACACCTCAGAGGCATTTCTGTTGTTGCTCAGCGCTTCCAGGTGCATGTCTGCAGGAGAGGGTGAGTGGGTGGGTGGGCGGGTGGGTGGGTATGGATGTGCAGTGTATGTGGAACGGGAGCTGTGTCTGTGAGTAGACTTAAGCCACCTCAACGACTTGCACGTTCGTCAGCCTTTATTCATTACACTAGATTCGAAAAAGCTCATTTGGTTTACCTTCCCCCTCTCGTGACTCATCCTTGTGTGTCAATCGGTCTTCAGACATAATTCTCAGCGAGAAGCTGACTAATGAGTCGTGTTTTTTTATCGACTCAAAGCACTTCCCTCTCTCGTGACTCGCCCTTGTGAGTGTGGCGTGCAGAAAGACTAGCACTCCACCTGGTGCATGCGTGCCGGTCTTCATTATATTCCTTGTTGATGCTCATATCCGTCATATCCGTTTATCCTTCCGTCTCCCCTTCTTGCGCACTTGCAGTTGGTAGGAGGACCTATACGGCAGCGTAGTTTGTGGATCTTGATGAGTTTGTGAACTGGTCTTTCTACCCAAACATGAATCCCTATCACCCCTCCTTGTGCGTATGTGTGCAGTGCAGTGGGACCTGTACGACTGCATAGGGCGCCTTTTCATAGGGGTGAATCAAATGTCACTACCCGAACGTGAATCCCCTCTCCTTGCACACGTGCATAGGGGTGAATCAAATGTCACTACCCGAACGTGAATCCCCACTCCTTGCACACGTGCATAGGGGTGAATCAAATGTCACTACCCGAACGTGAATCCCCTCTCCTTGCACACGTGCATAGGGGTGAATCAAATGTCACTACCCGAACGTGAATCCCCTCTCCTTGCACACGTGCATAGGGGTGAATCAAATGTCACTACCCGAACGTGAATCCCCTCTCCTTGCACACGTGCATAGGGGTGAATCAAATGTCACTACCCGAACGTGAATCCCCTCTCCTTGCACACGTGCAGTGGGAGCTGTACGACAGCATAGGGCGCATCTTCATAGGGGTGAATCAGACGGACATGAGACCACTGCCTTTAGAGTCGACTCAAGATGTTTCTCCTTGTGCATGTGTGTGTGTGTGTGTGTGTGTGTGTGTGTGTGTGTGTGTGTGTGTGTGTGTGTGTGCATGTGTGTGTGTGTGTGTGCATGTGTGTGTGTGTGTGTGTCTGTGCGTGTGTGCCTGTGTGTGTGTGTCTCTGTGTGTGTGTGTCTCTGTGTCTGTGAGTGTGTCTGTGAGTGTGTCTGTGAGTGTGTGTGTGTGTGTGTGTGTGTCTGTGTGTGTGTCTGTGTGTGTGTCTGTGTGTGTGTCTGTGTGTGTGTCTGTGTGTGTGTCTGTGTGTGTGTCTGTGTGTGTGTCTGTGTGTGTGTGTGTGTGTGTGTCTGTGTGTGTGTGTGTGTGTGTGTGTGCGTGTGTGTGTGCGTGTGTGTGTGTGTGTGTGTGTGTGTGTGTGTGTGTGTCTGTCTGTGCGTGTGTGCCTGTGTGTGTGTGTCTCTCTGTGTGTGTGTCTCTGTGTGTCTGTGAGTGTGTCTGTGAGTGTGTGTGTGTGTGTGTGTGTGTCTGTGTGTGTGTCTGTGTGTGTGTCTGTGTGTGTGTCTCTGTGTGTCTGTGAGTGTGTCTGTGAGTGTGTGTGTGTGTGTGTGTGTGTCTGTGTGTGTGTCTGTGTGTGTGTCTGTGTGTGTGTCTGTGTGTGTGTCTGTGTGTGTGTCTGTGTGTGTGTCTGTCTGTTTGTCTGTGCGTGTGTCTGTGCGTGTGTCCGTGTGTGTGTCTGTCTGTTTGTCTGTGCGTGTGTCTGTGCGTGTGTCTGTGTGTGTGTCTGTGCGTGTGTCTGTCTGTTTGTCTGTGCGTGTGTCTGTCTGTTTGTCTGTGCGTGTGTCTGTGTGTGTATGTGTGTGTGTCTGTGTCTATGTGTGCGTCTCTGTGTGCAGTGGGATCTGTACGACAGCATAGGGCGCATCTTCATAGGGGTGAATCGGACGGACATGAGAGCCCTGCCTGCAACGGAAGGGGACCTCTTTCACGTTGACACTCTCTATCTGGTGCGTAAGGAGGCGGATGGATGGGTGGGCAGATGGGTGGGGAGATGGGTGGGTGGGAGATGGGTGGGGAGATGGGTGGGCAGATGGGTGGGGAGACGGGTGGGCAGATGGGTGGACACATGTGTGCATGGGTGAATGGGTAGGTGAATGGGTGGGCACAAGGGTGCGTGGGTGGGTGGGTGGATGGATGGGTGGATGAGTGCGTGGGTGGCTGTGTGGGAAGGTGGAGAGGATACGTGGGTGCATGGGTGCGTGCAAGTGTGCTTGCGTGGTGGGTGGATGGGTGGGTGGGTAATTCTCGTGTTGTGACGTTCCTCTCTCATAGCACAACTTCTCCTAGCACAACTTCTCCTCCCGCCACCACCACCTGGCACTCTCCTTCCATCAGCTCACTCGATCTCCATCCACCCTGCTCTCTCATCCACCCTGCTCTCTCATCCATCCCTTCACCCGCCTCCCCCCAGCCCATGCTGCAGGAGCGTGGTGCCCCCCCAACAAGGCACTCTGGATGAAGTTGAGGCGACACCACCTGCTGCAAGAGCGTGAATCAACTCTCCTCTGCCCCCTCTTTCCCCCACTCCCCATCTTCTCCCCAGCCCATGCTCCAAGACTGTGGGGCGCCCAACAAGGCGCTGTGGGTGGAGCTGAGACGGCACCATCTGTCATTTCACCCCCCTTTTTCCCCCAACCCCCTTCTCCTTCCCACCAGCCGATGCTCCAGGAGTGTGGGGCGCCCAACAAGGCTCTGTGGATGGAGCTGCGGCGGCACCATCTGCTGCATCCGCAGGGCCTGCCTCTCTTCCGCCCCGACTTCTCCTACCACTACCGCCCAGCGCTCTCCTACCAGCAACTCACCCACCTGCCCCCCGACTGGCTGGTGGTGCTGGCACAGCGTCCCTCAGGGAAGCGCTCCTTCACTAACTCGGAGGAGGTCAAAGAGGCGGTGCTGGCCGCCTTTCCGCCGGAAAGGGTTGTTGTGTTTGACGGGTCGCTGCAGCTCATGCAAGGTGTGTTGCTTGCCCTTCGTAGGGTCTGGCTCTGAGGCGCCTTGGGAAAAGAGGGGTCTCTCTTTGAGGCCCTCTCCTACCAGCAACTCACCCACCTCCCGCCCGACTGGCTCGTGGTGCTGGCACAGCGTCCCTCAGGGAAGCGCTCCTTCACCAACTCAGAGGAGGTTAAGGAAGCAGTGCTCGCCGCCTTTCCGCCCGAGAGTTGTAGTGTTTGATGGCTTGCTGCAGCTCATGCAAGGTGCGTTGCTTGCCCATGAAACGCCTGACAAAACACTAGTGGGGTCTGTTTTTGAGGGCTCTCTCCTACCAGCAGCTCACCCACCTGCCCCCCGACTGGCTGGTGGTGCTGGCACAGCGTTCCCCAGGGAAACGCTCCTTCACCAACTCTGTGGAGGTCAATGAAGCAGTTCTCGCTGTGTTCCCGCCCGAGAGGGTTGTCGTGTTTGACGGCTCGCTGCAGCTCATGCAAGGTGTGTTGTGTTTCTGTGGTTTCTTTGGAAACTCCTGAGTGGTCTCTTGTTGAGGCCCTCCCCTACTAACAGCTCACCCACTTGCCGCCTGACTGGGTGCTCACCAACTCTGAGGAGGTTATAACGGCGGTTCTCGCTGTGTTTCCGCCAGAGAGGATTGTTTCCTGTGTGTCGCGCTTTTGAGTCTACAGCTGTGTTTCACTGTAATGTGGCCTTCTACCAGCTTCAAATAGATTACAGGGACTGAACTGAGCAGTTCAACGCAAAAAAAAAAAAAAAAAAAAAAAAAAAAAAAAAAAAAAAAAAAACAAACAAACAGTTCCAGCAACTTCTTTCTGGTTTTCGTTTCTTGTTCATTCTTCATATACTCTCTTTATGATATATGCATAGCAACGGCTGCCTATTTCTCGCACGTCCCTTTGCACTCCGTCCATCCACCCAACCTCCACCCTTCTACTCTCACAGTGCGTGCTTTGTTTCGCCGGACACGGCTCTTTGTGGGAGGGCACGGGGTGGCACTCTCCAACCTCATCTTCCTCATCCACCCCACTCCTCCACTCTTCACCCCCCCATTCCCCCCCCCCTCCTGCCCCCTTGTTCCCCCCCTATTCCCCCCCTCCTGCCCCCTTGTTCCTCCCCCACTCCGCCCCTCCTCCTCCTGCCGCCTTGTCCCCTCCCAACCACACTGCACCCCTTCTTCCCCATTTCTACAGCTCGTAATTTTGTTCCCACTACTCCCACAGGTGGCACTCTCCAACCCCACCTCCCTCCCCTACTCGTTCCTCCCACTTTCTCCTCTCCCACACTCCTTCCTTATTCCCACAGCACGTGCTTTGTTCCGCCGGACTCGGCTCTTTGTGGGCGGCCACGGGGCAGCGTTATCCAACCTCATCTTCATGCCCGTCAGATCCCACCTCTTGGAGATTCGCCCCGACAAATGCCCCAATCGCTGTTACAACAGCCTCTCGTATGCGTGCTCCATAAAGTACTATTTGTTGTTTAGCAATGGGACGTGTGACACCACTGTAGTTGCAGACGTTCCTAGGCTACAAAGGACGCTTAATTCCATTGCCAGGAATCTCAAAAAGGAGGATGTGGCTCTTGGACGAGCTTGGGAGCTTGCTTGATTAATATATAATATTGTTTCTTTATTTCATAGTAAATGTAATTGGTTACGGTAATGAGCAACAGAATGATGGTACAAACACATTGGAAGTTAATCAAGTTGCTGATACAACCAAAGGATCAGTGGATAGGATAGAATGTGTTAAGCCTGAAAGGAGACAGTGAAGTTTCTATAGTGACCTTGTTGAGTAATAAGTTGAAGGAAACAAGATGATTAGAAGGTAGGAGTACAAGAAATTAAATAGCGAACTATCTAGCCATGTACTCTGAGGGGTACATTCCCTTATTAACTGCATAGCTACAGTAACCACGACTATTGCTATTCTCGACAGTTACCGTGTTGCAGTCTGTTAACTGTCGCGTGGTTGCTGGATCGTCAAGGGTCACGACCGTTTGTCAAATGTTGTAGCCTATAGTGAGGTTTGTCTTAGGGGGTACAAAACTTAGGGTTAGCTATATGTACCCCAACCAACATCAATGCATCATCCATTCTTCATTTTGACATGGTATCAGAGCGGTTAGGATCCTGTGGGATCCCGTTCCTCCGTTCTCCGTTCGAGCCTCCCGAGCCTGATCCTAGCTCTCATTCGTCCCGGTTCCGTTGTTACCGCGCGTAGTGCCGAGCCTAGCGCCAATCCTAGCGCCCGTCCGCGCCACCCGTTCCCCTCGTTCCGTAGCGCCCGCCCTTACCCCCCGTCGCGTCGCGTTCCCCCCCCACGTCGTGTCGCGCCCGTTACCCTCGTCGCGTCGCCGCCCATTCCCCCCGTCGCGTCGCGCCTTTTCCCCCCGTCGCGTCCTGCCCGCCCTTTCCCCCTCGTCGCGTCCCTTTCCCCCCGTCGCGTCCTGCCCGCCCTTTCCCCCCTCGTCGCGTCCTTTTCCCCCCCGTCGCGTCCTCCCCGCCCTTTCCCCCCCACGTCGCGTCCCTTTCCCCCCGTCGCGTCCTGCCCGCCCTTTCCCCCTCGTCGCGTCCCTTTCCCCCCGTCGCGTCCTGCCCGCCCTTTCCCCCTCGTCGCGTCCCTTTCCCCCCGTCGCGTCCCGCCCGTCCTTTCCCCTCGTCGTGCCCCTTTCCCCCCGTCGCGTCCCGCCCGTCCTTTCCCCCCCGTTGGGTCCCTTTCCCCCCGTCGCGTCCCGCCCGTCCTTTCCCTCCGTCACGGCCCGCCCCTTCCCCTCCCGTAGCGGCCCGCCCTTTCCCCTGTAGCGGCCCGCCCTTTCCCCTGTAGCGGCTCGCCCCTAAACCCAGCCCGTCGTCTTAACCCTAGCCTGCTCTTCCGCTGCCACTGTATCCCTAGCGTTAGTTCTCGCTATGGCGACTCCGCGTGTGCTTCGTTTCGACGCTGACGGTAGACCTCTTGATTTTTCCGTCTGGCTTCTTCGTGCTCGCCGTCTGTTAGAGAGTCAGGTCCAGGCAGGCGAGACCCTCTGGGCGCACGCTACTGGTGCCCTACCTGCGCCCCCCGACCCTACGCCTTTAGGACCTGCCCCTGACGAAGCCGCTAGAGCCCGCTTTGCCACTCAGCGAGCTGACCAGACGGCTTGGACGTCACGTGACGCTGCGGCCTGCATCGCGCTCAGCAGCCTCCTCCCTGAGTCTGAGGAGGTTCACTTCACTCAGGTTCGGATCGCTGCTGAGTACCTCACTGCGATTAAGGCCCGCTACTCTTCTCCCGCTGCTGTCTCTCTTGGCCGCCTGTTCCTCCCGTTCCTGTTTCCTGACCTAGCGTCTTTTGAGCGCTCTGCTGACTTGATCGCTCACCTCCGCTCGCTCGACGCTAGTTACCGCGCTGCTTGCACTGAGGCACAGCTTGCACTGCTTCCTCCCCCTATGGCGATTACTATCTATTTCATCGCCACTAGCCTCCCTGACCGCCTTGCCTCCGTTCGCGACGCGCTTCTGCTGAAGCACCCTAGTGAGCTCACCGTCGATGTCCTTGAGTCTACACTCAAGGACGTCGAGAGCAACCTTCGCTCGGTAGCCGCTGCCTCTGGTGCTGTGCCCCCCCCACTCTTCCACGGGTGCACAGTCCCGCAGTTACCCACCTTTACTGCCTCACTTGCCACTGCCGCTACTGACGCGACTGCAGCTGCTGTTACGACTGCGTCGCGGTCCCGCGGTAGGAGTGGCAAGAAAGGCGGTTCTGGTGGTGGTAGTGGAGGTGGAGGCGGAGGTAGTGGAGGTGGCGTTGCGCCTGGCGGCGGTGGAGGTTCAGGGTCTGGAGAGGCGCCTCGTGCAGTGACTGGTGACTCCACTGCGCCTGCTAGTGGTGGCGACGCCCGAGTTCGTCAGTCGCCTCCTGTACTTCCTGCCCCGGTTGGTGGAGCAGCGGCGTGGTACCAGGCTCAGCGTCAGCAGCAGCTTCTGCAGCACCAGCAGCCCCTCTCCTCCCAGCAGCCTCAGCAGCAGCAGCGGCAGCAGCTGGCTCCAGGGTCGGGGCTGCGTCAGACCCAGCGTGGTGCTGCTTACACTCCCTGCACCTACCAGGTTCTGACAGGCCCTCGTCGTGGCCACCCTTGTGGCCGGTTTCACCCCCCTGGTCAGTGCTTTGCTCAGCTCACTGACACGGTTCGTTTGGTCTACGGGGTTGGTGCTCCTGCCCCTGACTGGCTGCCTCTTGTTCAGCGCTACGGCTCCGCTCTGTGGGGCATGTCTGCTGAGCAGTTAGTTGATCTGATTGGTACTCCCCATGCTATGTATGCTGTTGTTGACTCTAGTGTTTCTGACTCTGCTTACTCTGGTGTTGTTAGCTTAGGTGCTAGCCTTGCTCAGTTGCCTGTTGCTAGTGTAGGTTCTTGTGTAGACTCTAGTCCAGCGGCTACCTCAGAGGACGGTTCGCTGTCGTTCACGCTGGACTCTGGAGCCTCTCACTGCTTCTTTCGTGACAGCACGACACTTACGCCTCTTCCTGCGCCTGTTTCTGTGGCGCTGGCTGATCCCACTTCGGGACCAGTCACCGCGCGTCACACTACCACCTTGCCGTGTCCGGCTGCTCCTTCTGGGTCTCGCACTTGGTTTCACGTCCCCTCGTTCTCCCGGAACTTGGTGGGCGTGCGACCCCTCGTGAGTCAGCACGTGGGTGTGTGGTTTGAGCCTTCTGGAGAGACTGCGGTGTGTGTTGACGGGGACTCTTACCAGCCCCTCGCCACTTTTGCTGCTGAGCCGGGCTCCGGTCTCTACACTCTTCACACTGGCCCGCGCGCTCAGCAGCGACTGCAGCAGCAGCAGCAGCCGCAGCAGCAGCAGCAGCAGCAGCCGCAGCAGCAGCAGCGGCAGCAGCCGCAGCCGCAGCCACAGCGGCCGCCGTCGCAGCAGCCACTCCTCCCAGTTCCTGTCCCTCCCCCTAGTCTCCTCCCTGCGTCTCACCAGGTGGTTCCGTCCCCTCAGGTTGTCGCGTCCAGTCCAGTCGCTGCGTCTTGCTCCTGTCGGTCGCTTGCCCACCCCACCGTTCTGTGGCACCACCGGATGGGACACCCTTCTCTTCCACGTCTGCGTGCTATGTCTAGTCAGCGTCTGGTCTTAGGTCTCCCGCGTGTCTTGCCGTCGCTGCCGCCGTCCCTTGCACCACCGTGCGGTCCTTGCGTCGAGGGTAGGCTGCGTGCCACCCCTCACTCCTCCTCCCTTCGTCCGGCCACCGAGCCTTTTGAGACGCTGCACTTGGACGTCTGGGGCCCCTCTCCTCGCCCTGGCCCTGAGCGTGAGCGTTTCTTTTTTGTGGTCGTTGACGACTACTCCCGCTACACCACAGTGTTCCCCCTGGCGAGGAAGTCTGAGGTGACTTCTACGCTGATCAGGTGGTTGCTTACCACCCAGGACACTCGTGGTCGTCGTGTCAGCTGTCTCCACTCCGACCGCGGGGGCGAGTTTCGCTCCGGCATTCTCGCTGGATTCTGTCGCGAACAGGGCATTCGTCAGTCCTGGACGCTTCCGGAGTCCCCACAGCAGAATGGGGTTGCTGAGCGTCGCATAGGCCTGGTCATGGAGATTGCCCGCACCTCCTTGACTCACGCCCGTGCCCCCCATTTCCTGTGGCCATACGCAGTCAGGTACGCCGCGCACCAGCTGAACCTCTGGCCACGCGTCTCTCGGCCGGAGGCTTCACCGACCAGTCTTTGGACAGGGTCCCCTGGTGTCGCGTCGAGGTTTCGTGTCTGGGGGTGCTTGGCTCTTGTCCGCGACACCTCCGCGGACAAGCTCTCGCCTCGCGCCGTTCCTTGTGTCTTCCTTGGTTTCCCTGAGGACTCCTCTGACTTCACCTTTTACCACCCTCCCTCTCACCGGTTCTTTGACTCCCGTGACGTCCGTTTCGAGGAGTCCACCCCGTACTACGTCAGGTACCCCAGTCGAGGTCTCCCGGTTCCTCCTCCCCCCCTCTTCCTGACAGCCGCTCCCCCGCCTGCTCCCCCGGTACAGCCTCCCCCCCCTGGTCCAGCCCCGTCTGGTGTGTCTCAGGCTAGCCCTCCCCCTTCGGTAGCCCCCCCTGTACAGCCTCCCTCCCCACAGTCTTCCTCACCGCCTCCTGTAGGTGCTCCCTCTCGGGAGGTTGGTCCTGCGACTGTCCCTGTACAGGTCTCTGGTTCTGGGGGTGCTGGAGTTGGAGCTGAGCCGCGGGTTGCAGAGGACTCTTGTCTTCCGGGGGCTGGTACTGGTCGTGCGGAGTCTGGGGGTGCTGCGTCTGGGGGTGAGGGTGTCCCTTCGGTTTCTGGAGAGCCTGGGTCTGGAGCTGGTGTTGGTGCTGCCTCTGGGGGTGGTGTGCTTGGTGCTTCGGAGGTCGACTCTGGGGCTGCCGCTGCCCCGGACACTACTCCTTCCCCCCACCCCTACCCGACCAGGTTCCAGGCTCGTGTTCGCCGTGCTCGTGAGGAGCAGCTGGAGTTGGAGAGAGAGGAGAGAGAGTTGCAGCGGCTCGAGGAGCAGGAGCGACAGCAGCAGGGGCAGCAGCCGCTGGAGCAGCAGCAGCCGCAGCAGCCGCAGCAGCAGCAGCAGCTGCCGTCTCCTCCTCCTGTCTCG